TCTCTCTCTCTCTCTCTCTCTCTCTCTCTCTCTCTCTATATATATATATATATATATATATATATATATATATATAAAAACACATATATAATTTGTTCTGTCCTGGCCCTAGCCAAATTATATTTTCTTAAGTATGACAGAAGTGTTTTTTATTTGTTGTTGTTTTTGCTTGTTTTTTATGAATCTGTTATTTCTAGGCTGGATATGACACAGCTTATTCCTGTTACCACTTTACCATCTTTGGATCACACTCTCATAAGACAATTCCAAATATTACAGTTTTAAGCCTCGGTAGTAACATCAATCTATCTGGTCGCTGGGCTTTCCGTGTAGATAATGGTTCAAGGGACTGCAATGGTAAGACGAAAACATCTCCAAATCTATACTTTTATAATTAGACCATAAAACTATTACACTGAATTCTAAACAGCTGTTTAACTTTCTCTTATTTTGGAGCCCTTCTTTGGGGTCTTACATAGCACAGCAATTACTTATGGGTCTAACCCTATGCTTATGAAATAACTATGGTAGCCTTTTAGAATAAGATGCAAAATATTCTATAAAAATGTCTTTAACTGCTGATCTGAATAGTCATTACACCAAAGAACTACCATGGCTTTTTAACTAAATTTTAAATATTACAATAAAAGTCTCACTCTGCATATGAAATATGTAACTATTAATCTCATTATAAAAACACTGTGCTATTTAAGAACTGAAAATAGATTTTTAATCACTCAACTTTCAAACAATATATCTCAAACACAACTATGACAGATTTTAAGAAAATTACATATAACAATGTAAAAAAAATTTATTTGACACAGCAATACAGAACTAAACATTATGAAGAAAGCTCACTTGGTTGTGTAAATTTGACCATGGCCTTTTTAAACACAATCCACTATTCTTTTCATAATAAAAGCCTTTTTTTTCCTGTAGTAAATATATAAATATTATAATGATAAGAGTGGGTGTTAAATAGACAAACTTGTCCTAACCACAACGACGCCTGGTTAAAAAAAAAAAAGATCTTAACATAAATTTACAAATAAAAAATCTTCAGATATGACATACCAGATAATTTCAGAATGTACCTCAACACTGCGACTGGAAATAAACCAGTTTGGAACAAGTGCTAATACGGCCTTTTAAAAAAGCAAAATGCAGAGCACGCATTTTTTTCTTTATTAAAGTATCACAACTCTATACATTGTGCCTTACAATTATTATGGGCCCACTTGGTTTGAAGTTATATAACATTAGCACAATATACATATCATACAGAAATGTTAAGCTTAAGTGAATGTTTCAACATTACATATTGAAAGCTGATTTATGTTTAAAAAACATGGAGGACAATCTTGGTGATCTCTATCCTACTTTTTAGGACCCCTCTACCCAATTGGTGGAACAACAAGCTCTCGGGAAGATGATGGAAGCTCCACACGAATTTCACTTCTTAAAACCTTTAACTATTTTGGCAAATCCTACTCTCAGATTTATGTACGTTCACATTATTTCTTAGACTTTAAGTCCCTTTTCTTAAGTAAAGATATTCAAACATTCAACAAAAAATGTCAGTAAACACCATGATCCAATTTGAGTGTTATTTTATTTGCAGGTAAACCACAATGGACATCTCAGCTTTAAAGAACCATGGAGTAGTTATTCACCAAAACAGTTTCCAATCTATGGAGGAAGAGACATCATTGCTCCTTATTGGACCGATTTAGACAATAGTAAAAGTGGTAACATCTACTATGCTCAGTACACCAACGGCTCTATTCTTCAGCAAGTTACCAAGGACATCAAATTGTACTTCCCAGAACTTAACTTTAATGCCAGCTGGATCTTTATTGCAACATGGCATAAAGTTCCCTATTCTTCAATGCCTAAATCGGTAAGGAAAAATATTTGATTTTATAACTAGAAGGAAGATATAAACTGTGTTTAATCTTCATAGTTATTCTAAAAATTACTCTTTTTTTCATAGCAAACAACCTTTCAGGCAGTCTTGGCTTCCAATGGGAATTACTCACTTGTGATTCTGAATTATGGATCCCTAGCATCCAAACAGGTCTCTCTAGAGGTCAGAGCATCTCAGTTAAATACACCCATATATCATTTGCAATACCTTGTTCCAAGACAGTGTCTTTTTTCTTATTTGTGACATTTTTTTTTTTTTTTACGAATATGTTAATTCTAGGCTGGATATGACACAGCCCATTCCTGTCACCACTTTGCCATATTTGGATCATTCTCTAGTAACACAATCCCGAAAAGCATGTTCTTAAGACTCAAAAGTAACGTCAATATATCTGGTCGCTGGGCTTTTCGTGTTGATAATGGCTCAAGGGACTGCAATGGTAAGAAGAGATCATTACTAAACAGGGGAGTTAGGAAAAACTCCAGTCTGTATAAAAGTGTATCATAGAGGGGCTACTGAAATGGGTGCACAAAATACTGTAAAGTTGTTTAGTTTCATTCTTCCTTTTGAGCCCCATATTAAGGGTTGCCGGAGCACAGTATTAAAGGATGGGTCTGATTCTTTACTTAATACTCAACCTCAACCTTTCCAATTTGGGCACAGAATTCTCTACAAACAACCATTTGTATTTGGACACAGCACAACATTACAGCAAACAATTGAGAACATTATCAACAGAATTAAAATGATTTTGGAAAACTGACCTGAACTGGAAATAGGTTCTATATCACTAATGTGTCAGATGATATTTATATTTCAAAATGAGACATATAATACTCTAGAAATAGAAAATCATATTTGAAACAGCAGAATATTGCAGTACAGTACTAAACAATATAAAGCAAAGCTAAACTGTTAATTTTTTTCTTTTCAAAACAAAACACAAATCCACTAAATAATTCGGTAACATGTTACAATAACCATCATAATTCTCATTCATAAAGGGTAAAGAGACTCTTTAGTCACGATCAACAGAAAGTTTATTCATGTTTTATAATCATTTATAAACAGCATCTAAACCATTTATCAAAAGTAAATGGAACCTATTGTCTTTCAATTTTTATTTAGCCTCAACCTTAACATCAGTGGACTGCCAGGTTAGTTTATCCCTAGCATCGGTTGGCTTTTGGCCTAACCTAATCTGACTTTGATTTATATTGCTTGGACATGTTAGTTTAGCTCTAAGTCTTACATCAGGGAACTTAAGACCTGAACCTTGCCTTCAGGCTTTCAGCTAGCAATGTGTACATTATACTCACTTTAATAAAAATCTTAGAAGTTGTATGCCGTATTTTTCTGATTTAAGGCTTTGGTATGTCTTCATTTTCCCTAGGCATATGGGGGAATATCTAATGTCCCTACGGACAACTTAATTTTCAGTTAACAAGCATATTGTGCTGTTTGCAAACAAGTAAACCTGAAACTTGTCGAATGCCTGATAACTACAGGATTTTTTTGGAGGGTTTTTCTTTTGTTCTTTGGGACAGTATCATCTGTGGAATGGGGAAAAAAACAGCTAGTGAAAGTTTACCAGAAGATTATGAATATATCAAATAACTAGAACTGACAGATATAGTTGTGAGGCAGTCTGTGGCAGTGGGGCTTGAATTTAGAACCTCAGGGTTCCAAGTGCAGTGCCCTAACCACTAGACCACCACTCCCAAAAGCTGCCATTAGCGTGAAGGGTCTTGCCTAAGGACCCACACTGGCAGCGCTTTCCCCCCAGCTGGGGTATAAACCAAGGCTCCCTGTTTGCAGGATGGGTGACTTACCTTTTGAGCTAGCCAGCCACTGTATTTATAAACTGTTTCACCATAGTTCATAAACAAATGTTTTAGAGCTGCAATAATGATCAGAACTTGCTCTCTTTTCCTTGTAACATACATAACATCCATTATACCAGCTTTTTGGAGTTTAACCTCTTGATACTTAGGCCTATTCATTTTTCATATGCAGATAACTCTGCAAAAGCCATAAGAGCATGTAGTGAGTATCACTCAGTATGTATGTGTCTAAACTTTCACCTTTAGCAGTAAGTATAAGTTAGTTTTTGATTGTTTGAATTAGGCTATGAAACATAATATATTCATATATATTGTACCTAAAAATTATTAATTCTCATGTCTTCCTTATTAAATTTTTACCTCCAGTAAAACACAAATACTTCCCATAACGAGGACAAAAGTAGTGTTGTAACAAAGACAAAACATTAGCTGCATTCCGCCTCAGAATGCAGGAAATAGCATTTTAGAGAGTCTAAATTTCAAATATCTTCGGCAGAGAATATCCTCAGACCTCCCTTAAATGCTCATTACTGAGGTATGAGCCGCACAGCTACTGAATGCCGCACAAAGCCTAAAGATGTGATGCACCAAGGTGTACACCCATTAAATACTTCTAGCTAAAAGCCTGATTGCCTTAATTTTCATTTAACTTGCCCTGTCATGTAGGACTTACCCTTCAGTACCCCTTAATACAATAATAAATTATCTATTTACCTCTTATAGAAGGTTTAGATTCAGTTTATAAATGAATTAAATGAATCAAAAATAAATAAACTATCTGTTAATCATTGTCTCTTAAGCATTTATAAATATTTGATGGTTGTTTTAGCGCTTTATGCTATATTCACCCATTCACGCACACACTCACACACTGATGGTTGCCAACTGTATTTTAGCCACAGCTGCCCCTGAGCTAACTGACAAATGTGAGCCTGCCGTACACTGGCGCCACTGGGCCCTCTGACCACCATCAGTAGGCAATGCAGGTGAAGTGTCTTGCCCAAGGACACAATGACACTGAAAGTCGGCGTCTGGGCTCGAACAGACAACCCTCGAATTGCAGGAAAAACCCATGTACCCAATGCTACTGTCGACTTAGCAGATAATTTCAGCAGTGCCTCATAAGTATCACTGGACATAAACTAGTTTGGAACTCGTATGATTATGTTATTTGTTATTTGACATTAGCTATGTATATTTTGTACAGAAATTCCAGCCTGAGTGCATCTTTCAACTTTACATATTAAAAAATGAATACTGTTTCAGAAAACATGAACACAATCTTGTTTCTTTTTAGGACCCCTCTACCCAACTGGTGGAACAACAAGCTCTCCAGAGGATGATGGAAGCTCTCCAAGAATTTCACTCCTCAAAACCTTTAACTATTTTGGGAAATCTTACTCTCAGATTTATGTATGTTTAAATTATAAATAATAAGGCAATATACAAACTTTGTTCAAAAAATATAAATAAACACCATCATCTTATTTGGGTGGTATTTTATCTTCAAGTAAAAAAAAAAAGAAAGAAAAGAATAAACAGCAATACATAATTTGTAAGTTGTTTTTCAGGTAAACCACAATGGACATATCACCTTTGAAACACCATGGAGTAGTTTTTCTCCAGAACAGTTTCCAATGTATGGAGGCAGAGACATAATTGCCCCTTACTGGACTGATTTAGATAACAGTAAAAGTGGTAACATCTACTATGTTCAGTACACCGACGGCTCTATTCTCCAACAAGTTACCCAGGACATCAACATGTACTTCCCAGAACTTCACTTTCATGCCAACTGGATCTTTATTGCAACATGGCAAAAAGTTCCCTATTTTTCGATGCCTGAAACTGTAAGGAAATCTATTTGATCTTATATTTTTAATGAAAAGGTATAAACTATGTTTAAACTCAATATCCAAAATTTAAATTACTCTTTTTTTCATAGCAAACAACCTTTCAGGCAGTCTTGGCTTCCAATGGGAATTATTCATTTGTGATTCTAAATTATGGATCCCTAGAATCCAAACACGTCTCTATCGAGGTTAGAGCATTTCTGTCAAATGCATACATATTGTCTTTGCTTTACTTGGCACTGTCTAGAGTCTGTTTCCTGAAGTATGGCTAATTTTCCTTCTTTTTTTTATTTCTGAATTTGTTATTTCCAGGCCGGGTATGACACAGCCTATTCCTGTCACCACTTCACCATTCTTGGATCATTCTCTAATAAAACAAAACCAAATATGACACTTTTAAGCCTTGGTAGTAACATTAATGTAACTGGTCGTTGGGCTTTCCTTGTAGATAATTTTTCAATGGACTACAATGGTAAGAAGAACATATCATTAATATGTATATATCTTTATAAGGGTTAAAACATGTATTAGGGGAATCGGGAAAAACTAGTGTGTGTCACATGGTAGAAAATAAGCGCCATTAAATTTGGTGCACTTATATCACTCAGTGCACTTTTTTGGGTCTGACCCTATACTTAAAGGGGAACATCGTTTTTTGTTTTTTTTTTTTACATTGGGCCCTTGATTTTACATTATTACATCACGTTCTACTCACCCATATTAGTTTTGTGTCATTTGGAGCTGTTCTGAAGATGTAAAAAATATAACCCCGGATGTTTGGGGGACAGTGATTCGCATACATGTTATGAATGCTGGCGTACCATAAAGAATAAATTTGAACAGTTCAGTTTGTGCCTTCAACTTGTTGCCCAAAGGAAGACATTACTTGTATATAACAAAACCGAATATCTTTGGAACGACTCCAAATAACACAAAACTAATATGGGTGAGTATAACGTGATGTAATAACGTAAAATCAAGTGCCCAATGTAGAAAAAAAATGGCGTTCCCCTTTAAGACCATGCCAACCATACCAGCCTTTCGGAATTACACACTACAAAAAACAATAACAAACAAACAAACATTATATTCTGAAATTACAAATTATAACTGTTATGTTTATAATAGTGTAGGCGACTATCATCCAAAAATTAGTTGCTGAGAGGAGAGCAGGGATCTGTTCAACACGCTGAATCCAAGGAGGAAACATAAAGCTTTACTGCAGTTAGGGATGTTTATTGTACCCTTTTTCTGTGAAGCATTGTACAACAGGTAGATTTGCAGACTTATTTTGCTTTAAACTTGCGGTCAACAGAAATATTCGCACCCTGCCTTAGCTTCTCTCTGAATCAAACAAACAGCCCACAGAGCAGATCCAGGTGATATTAATTAGACAATCACTCAGCTCCAGCCACATGCCAACACCCACTTATAGCTCCACCCACACATGCCCATACATACCTTTAACACATGCACTCTAGCCTTAGAGACAGGACAAAAATGCATCATTGCCTCTACAATAGAGATACAATATGATTTAGTAACTTGAAAGGGATTCTATACCACTATAGGACCAGATGATATTTCTAAACAGCCATTACAGACCTTCAAAATAAGACATACAATAATCCACACAAAAAAACAACAATCCTATTTCACACAGCAGATTATTGCAGTACAGAACTAAACATTATAAACGGAACTCAACTGTTTCTTTTGATTTTTTTTTTTCGGCCTTCTCCAAATACAATCCGCTATATATTTTAAAATAAAAGCCTCACCTTTATGCAGTAACTATGTAAATAATATGCCTATAAAAGTGACACAGTAGGATTTAGGAACTGGAAATTGGTAATACTTGCCTTTGGCTCTGACCCTTACAACACAACTGTGCCACACTGTCAAAGTTGGAGCACAATACTCTTCTTACTAAAAGCCTTTTTATATTGCAGAACAATATTACACAAACAACCAGTTTTGGAAAATTGACCACCATGACAGTTGAAGGACATTCTATTGGAAGTTCCTTTTTAAATAAAGCCTCTATTTTTAGTACTTAATTTGTAACTATTATGCTGATAAAGGAATACAGTGTGAATTAAGTGTTGAAAATAGATTCCTTGTTAAATCCTTGCCCTAAAGCTAACCATACTGTTTTAAGAAAAAAAAAAAACATACCCTACATATTAAAAGGCCAAATATGACCAAACAGATCATTTCAGAAAATGCTCGCCACTATGCCTGGAAATAAAAAAAGTTTAGAACGCATGCTGTTATGATCTTAAAAAAAAACTAAACCGTGAATATTTTTAAAATAAAAGCATGACTTCTCAGTGTATTGGTCCGTCAGAATCATGTGTCTAGTTGCTTTGAAACTATTTTACATTAGCACGATATATTTTGTACAGAAAAGCCATAGCGCTTGTATCAATGTTACAAAATGAACACTGTATCATGTTTAAGAACACAGGAAGAAAATCCTGGTGATATCTGTTCTACTTTTTAGGACCCCTCTATCCAATTGGTGGAACAAAAAGCTCTCGAGGAGATGATGGAAGCTCCGTGCGAATTCCCCTCCTCCAAACCTTTAACTATTTTGACAAATCTTACGCTCAGATTTATGTACGTTCACCTTATTTCTTAGACCTTAAGTCACTTTTCTTTTTAATTAGCAGGATATAATTCAGACATTCATCCAAAATGTAGACTACACAGCAAAACATAATTTGGCTTTCGTTTTATTTGCAGGTAAACCACAATGGACACCTGACCTTTGAAGAACCATGGAACAGTTATTCACCCAAAAGGTTTCCAATGTATGGAGGCAGAGATATCATTGCTCCATTCTGGACTGATTTAGATAATAGTGCAAGTGGTAACATATACTATGATCAGTACACCAACGGCTCGATTCTCCAACAAGTTACACAGGATATCAACTTGTACTTCCCGGAACTTAACTTTCATGCCAATTGGATCTTTATTGCAACATGGCATAAGATTCCCTATTTTTCAATGCCTGAAACTGTAAGGAAATCTATTTGAAGTTATATTTGAGATGAAAAGACAAACTGTGTAATATTCATGGTCATTTTTAAATTGCTCTTTTTCCCTAGCAAACAACTTTTCAGACAGTTTTGGCTTCCAATGGGAATTACTCATTTGTGTTGTTGAATTATGGGTGCCTTGCATCTAAAAAGGTCTCAATAGAGGTAAGAGAATTTAAGTTAAATGCGTACAACATGTTTTATTCACCTTTTCTTGGCAAGTGTTTACTTTCTAATGTATGACAATTTTTTTGTTTTGTTTTTATGAATCTGTTTTTTCAAGGCTGGATATGACACCGCTTTTTCCTGTCACCACTTCAACATTCTTGGATCATTCTTTGATGATATAGTTCCAAAAGTCAAACTTTTAACCCTTGGTAGTAATGTCAATAGGTCTGGTCGCTGGGCTTTCCTTGTAGATAATGGTTCAATGGACTACAATGGTAAGAAGAACGAATCACTAAATATGTCTTTATGAGTATTGCAAATTTTATCAGGGGAATTAGGAAAAACATCAGTCTGTGTCACATGCTAGAAGGGCTATTAAAATGGGTGCACTTCTATCACAGAGCCCTTTCTTGGGTCTCACCCTATACTTAAGACACAACAATGCTAGACTTTCAGAATAAGACACAGAATACTCTAAAATAAAACCCTTTATATTTTGATATGTCAAAAAATGACAGCAAAGACTTTAAAACATTATGAAGATAATTCAATTAATTTTTGGTAACTGACTAATATGGTATTTTAAACAACCCAACTCGCTGTAAATTCTAAAATAAAAACCTCACTTTCCATATTCAATATGTAACTATTTAGCTTATTACAGTGATGCAGTGTGATTTAAGAACTGGAAATAGGTTTTACATTACCACTGTGTCAGATGATATATCTAAAACACAACCTGACAGACTTAAAAAATAAGACATAAAATACTCTACTAATTAAAACATCATATTTGACACAGCTGATTGTGGCAGTACAAGTCTAAACATTATAAACATAACAACCATTTTTTTAATTAAATTTCCCCATGGCCTTTCCAAAAAACAATCCACTAAATCTTTGAAAATAAAAACCTTACTTTTTCAAAGTAACTATATAAATAATAATAAGCCTATCAGAGATAGGTAGTGTGATTTATGACATTACATGTGTAAGTATTACTTTTTGGTCTGACCCTATCCTTGCAACACAACCATGCCACACTTTATAAATTAGACAATAATACTGTTCTTCATAAAATACTTTTTACCTTGCTAATAATTATAATAGATAATTACAATGTGGGCCTCAGCAGTATTGCCTGAACTCAACCAGTTTTGGAAAATGGATGAGCATGGCAGCTCAAAGAAGTTGAATTTGAAACTCTTTTTTAAATAAAGTGTTACCTTTTACTTTATGTGTAACTATTGCAGTGATAATAGAATGCAATTTGATTTAAGCATTGAAAATAGATTCCCCATTGTCAATGTGTTAAATCAGTGCCATAATTCTTACAACTTAAAAAAAAAACACACAAAGACCTAACATACCCTACAGATCGAAAGCCTTCAGATAGGACTTAGCTGATTATTTCATAACATGCCCAACCACTACGCAGGAACTCATACTGTTATGGCCTTTTAAAAAATGAAACCACTCATATTTTTGAAATAAAAGTAGCAGCACTTCTATTTGTCCCTCAGAATCATGTGTGTCCAGTTTGATTGAAACCATTTTACATTAACAGGATATATTGTGTTGAGAAATGTGAAGCCTAAGTGAATATCAACTTTACTTATTGAACCTGTTTAAGAACACTGGAGGACCATATTGTTGATCTCTGTGTACTATTTAGGGCCCCTCTACCAAATTGGAGGAACAACAAGCTCTCGAAAACTTGATGGAAGCTCCCCACAAATTTCACTCCTCCAAACCTTTAACTATTTTGACATACCTTACTCGCATATTCATGTATGTACACCTTATTTCTTAAATTCTAATCACATTTTCTATCAATTGTTTGGACAATAAGGAAATATTCATGAGAACTCATAAATATATACCAACAGCTAATTGTAGTGTTCTTTTGTTTGTAGGTAAACCACGATGGACATCTGACCTTTGAAAAACCATGGAATAGTTATTTACCAGAACAGTTTCCAATTGATAAAGGCAGAGACATCATTGCTCCATTCTGGACTCATTTAGACAATAGTAAAAGTGGTGACATCTACTATGATCAGTACACCAACGGCTCCATTCTCCAACAAGTTACCCAGGACATCAACATGTACTTCCCAGAGCTTCCCTTTCATGCCAGCTGGATCTTTATTGCAACATGGCATAAAGTTCCCTATTTCTCAATGCCTGACACAGTAAGGAAATCTATACGAATTGATATGTGAAGTGAAAATAATAAACTGTTTAGTCATTCTAAAAAAAAAAAAACAATCTTTTTTTCGAAGGAAACAACCTTTCAGACAGTCTTGGCTTCCGATGGCAATTATTCATTTGTGTTGCTGAATTATGGGTGCCTTGCATCTTCACAGTTCCCTGTAGAGGTCAGAGCTTTTAAGATAAATGCACACATTTTATTCACCTTGTTTTGGCCAAAGCCAGCGTCTACTTTCTTATTGACTAATGTTTTTATTTTAATAAATCTGTTATTTCTAGGCGGGATATGACACAGCAGATTCCTGTCACCACTTCACCATCTTTGAATCAATCTCTAAGAAAACAATCGCAAACACCATTTTATTAAGTCTAAAAAGTAATGTCAATGTATCCGGTCGTTGGGCTTTCCGTGTAGATAATGGTTCAAGGTACTGCAATGGTAAGAAAAGATTATTTAATATGCATCTTTATCCTCTATTAGGGGAATGAGGAACAACTTCATTCTGTGTCAGTGTAGAACAGACGGGCAACAGAAATAATGCACTAAATAATTTCTTTCAGTTTTATTGTTCCTTTGTGAGCCCTTTATTGCCCCCAAACACCAGACAGCATTTTAGACGTTGGATTTTAGGCTTAAACACTGCTATAGTCTTGATTTACTCTAGGAAGAGCTGTTGAAAATCAAGCTGTCTTTGGCTGGTCTGATTTTCTTCCCACTTTAGCCCAATAATAGATATTGAAAGGCCTAATGTTCAGACAGTTCAAAAGATGTTCAAAACTGGGTTTTGACCATCTGAAAATGATGGGTTTTGAGCTTTTCCTTTTAAACCCAATGTAGATATCATTTGGATGTAAATTATGTCTTCTTTTTGATGTCTGTTCAACCAATTTTTGCTTGTTGGGTGACGCCTGCCATGACACAGCAATTAATAGTGGGTCTGACCAAAAATTAAGACAACAATTTTAGACTTTCAAAATTAGAAACAGAATACTCTACCAAAAACTCATTGATATTCCAAAAAGACATTTTACAGCCAACAATTAAAAACATTATGACCAGAATGTAACTAATTTTGGAAAATATACTTCCATTGCATTTTACATAAACAAATCTAGCTGTAAAGTTTAAAATACAGCCCTCACTTTCCATATTAAGTATGCAACCATTAAGCTTATATTAGTGATATTGTCATGAAAAGGTATTCAAGGTGAAACAGTCAGTAGGAAAGTTCAAAACATAACTGAAACAGAACAGAAACCGACTGCTGGGGATCTGTGGACCTGCAGCGACTGCAGGGAAAAGAGGGTAGGACACCGCCCAATCGCTTACACTCTCTGGAGGGAGAAACACAGGTAAGTGACCACGATCATCGGACAGAAGATGATTATCAGAGTGAGTCACCTACCTAGTTTAACAGTTCAGTCCATTTTCCGCATGGAAAGCAGTATCCATACGATGGAATGCCGAACGGGATCCAGCATAGAGCCATCCAGGGTGTTCCCGATCAGTGCAGCAACCGAAGAGACGTGACAGGAGACCAATCCAGGTCAAAACCAGATCGTTCTGAGATCCAGCTCGATTAGGGGTTCCAATCCACAAAGGAACAGACAGAAATTGTGTTCCAGGAATCCACAGAGCACTCAGGCAGGTTCAGAGTTCCACAGAGTCTACCAAGGTGTTCACACAGACACGCTGAGCCACAGAAACGTGGGTTCAGATGCGGATGGGCAGGCTCAGTGGTTGAGGGACAGAGACAAGACGAGGTACTAGAATTTCTGCAGAAAACTTTAAACTGGTCTTCACCTTGGAGCCAGGCTTACGGGAATAAAACTAAATTTCTCCCCGTTCTGAGCCAAAACCCTCCGGGGGTTTTGTCTTGTGTCTTGTATCCACAATCAGGATACAAGACAAACACAAAAACCCTCTCAATCCGCTGGCTGCTAGGAACCGGGACATGAACCATGGAATAGATTAAACTAATTAAACAGACAAACTAACAGGCAAAAACAGACAGCAAACAATGATCTGGCCCCGATAGCTCGGACTGAACCGAATATGAAGGGGCAGACGCGGGTGGATGAGATGAGTGATAATTAGAGACTAGGCAAGTTTAGGCAGATGAGTGAATTGAAGAATTAAGACCAGCTATCAGGGCAGATCATGATAGATCATGGTTTATACATGAATGAGTAACTCCTATTTAATGCTTTTTAATGCTCTTAGAAATAATTTTAATGCCATCAAAAAGTACCCATGACTCTCATATATACAGGGCAAAATCCTTTGTCATCTTTACCATCGACAAGCTGCAGCCATGTCGCAAATTCCTAGTTTTCCAGGCAGTTTTGTGGCAATTTGCATTTTCCTAATTTTCTAGCTTTTTCTCTGCCTTAAGCTTCTTTTCTGAACATACGGCTTTACGATCAACCAGAAGCAGTTCTGCGCAAATATATCGCAATATAATACATCTGGTGTAATTGTTTTTATAAAGATTTTTTTATAAGGCATTTTAAATGCCACGATAATCACATTTAATGAGTTTTAATGCAAACTAAGGCCTTAATTCAAAGAATAATAATTTAATGATTTTTAATGACCCACGGAAACCCTGCAGATATAGTGTGATTTAAGAACTAGAAATAGGTTTAACATCATCAATGTGTTAGACAATATATCTAAAACACAACCATGACAGACTTTTAAGATCAGACATATGATACTCTAAAACATAAAACACAGCATATTTGACAGAGCAGATTTTTATAGTACAGAACTAAAGAGTAATTAATGTAAAACTATTATGCTAAATATGGCATTAAAGAGATCCCCTGTTATTATTGGGTTAAATCCTTGCCCTAAAACTACATTTTTTGCTTAAAAAATACCTTAACATATTCTAAACATAAAAAGCCTTCAGGTAATACTTACCAGATCATTTTAAAACTTGTTTGGAATTCAAGCTGTCTTGGCTTTTTAAAAGATAAAACCACCATTTTTCTCTAAGAATAATGTGTGCCCAGTTGGCTTATAAATATTTTACATTAGCACTATATATTTTGTACAGAAAATCATGAGTGCTTGTATCAACCTGATGTATTTAACAGAGAAAATCCTGGTGACCCCTGTTCTATTTTTTAGGACCGCTCTACCCACTTGGTAGAACAACAAGCCCTGCAGAAACTTATGGAAGAAGAATTGATCTCCCCCAAACTTTTAACTATTTTGGCAAATCTTACTATCAGATTTATGTATGTTGACATCATTTCATAAAATTTAAATAATTTTTCTTTTTATTATAGAAAAAAACTATTCAAAAATTCATCAAAAAGCTAAATAAAAAGCAAGACAAAATTTGAGTGTTTTTTTGTTTGTTTTTTTGCAGGTGAACAACTATGGATACCTGATCTTTGAAACACTAGGGCATAGTTATTCACCAGTAGATGGAGGCTTGGACATAATTTCTCTTTACTGGAATAATTTTGACAATCAGGAAAGTGCTAACATCTACTATGACCTGCATACAAATGGCTCTATTCTACAAAAAGTTACCCAGGACATCAACATGTACTTCCCGGAACTTAACTTTCATGCTAGCTGGATCTTCATTGTAACATGGCATAAAGTTCCCTATTTTTCAATGGCTGAAACAGTAAGTAAATATATTTGCAGAGATATGTGAAGTTAAATTACACAATGTATGTTCAATCTGAATAAAATTTCTTGTTTTTCCTTAGCAAACAACCTTTCAGGCAGTCTTGGCCTCCAATGCAAATTACTCCTTTGTGATACTGAATTATGGATCCCTACTATCCAAACTCGTTTCAGTTGAGGTTAGAAAATATCACTTAAATGCAGACAACATTAAGAAACAGCAGAACAATTTTATTTGACTTGTTTTGTCCCTTGCCAATCTCTATTTTCTGAAGTATGAATTTTCTTTTTTGTTTTTTCCTATGTTTCTGTTATTTCCAGTTGGGAAATAACACAGCCTTTTCCTGTCACCACTTCCATATCCTTGGATCAGTCTCTAATAATACAATCCAAAACAGCACTCTTTTAAGCCCTGGAAGTAACGTCAATCTATCTGGTCGCTGGGTTTTCCGTGTAGATGGTTCAAATGACGACACTGGTAAGAAGGAAGTATTACTACACTTATATGTCTTTATGAAGGAATTAGGGGAGACTTCAGTCTGACAGAAGGACTTGAATCACACAGAGCCCTTTCTTGGGTCTGACCCTGTACTTAACAAACTGTGACCTAAGAACAACAAATAGGTTCTATATTACTAATGTGTCGGACAATATATCATGTCAGACTTTCAACATGAGACATAATAGTGTAAAAAACAGACACACATATTTTACACAGCAGATTAATGTATACAGATATAAACGTTTTAAGACATGTTTATTTATAATTATAATTTTATCAAATTTAACTATATCCTTTCAGAAAACACAATGCACTAAATATATAATAAAACCCACTATTCCACTGTAACTATGTTTATCTAAAGCATAAAGGGTGAGTTATGTCATGGAAAAAGGTCACTATTACTGTTGCATCTGACCCTATCCTTACAACACAACCATGCCACACTTTCAAAATTAGATCAAAATACCCTGCTTAATAAAAGCCTTTTTATCTGGCACAGCAGATCATTGCTAACCTGGCTAAACAGATGGAAAAGTCTGGTTCACTGAGATGTACACGGTATTACTCTGGTAGGGATCTTACGAAAAGTGTTCACAAAAGGGAGGGACATTCAGTACAATTCTTTTAGCTTATTGGGTAAATCAAGGTGCTCATTCCTCCATGTCAACCTTTTAGCAAGTCACAGCAGCAGCCATATTACATTCTTGATCTGGTTCACAACTAGCTGAGTTGACTAATAAATCAAACTCTTACCAAACAAATGGGCAAATATCTTTCCCATTCACATGGGCAAGAATGAAAGAAACATTTAATCCAGGCTAATAAATCTGCTGTATTCTGGATTTCTTTAAGGTAGTTGGTGAAATCACAAATCTCACGACAATTCATTTAGCTTGCAAAGTGAGACAATTGCAGCTTGGGGGAAAGACAATATCGCTTAAATTCCACCAGTTTTGGAAAATGTATTACTTTATCGGTTCATATAGACAGATTCTTCTGGACATTTCTGTTTCCAAGTAAAGATTAATGTATACTAGTAATTAATTTTTAACTATTGTGTTGATAATGGAACACAATGTGGTTTAAGCACTGGAATTTTTCCCCCCATTAATACCATGTTAAATCCTTTCCCAAACTGACCACATCCTTCTTTTTTTTATTTTTTTTAAAGAACCTTAAGATACCCTGCGAATTAAAAGCCTTCAGATAAAACTTACCGGATCATTTCATTTATTTATTTAATTTAGATTTTTTGTGGCTTTAGTGGCTCGTCATTTGAATGTAGGCTGACAGGAAGAGGGCATGAGAGAGGGGGAGAGACGTGCGGCAAATGACCACTGACCACTAACTCTAACATTAACATGGCCACATCGAGGACTATGGGCTCTGTACATGAGTCGTGCGCGTAACCGCTGCACCACCTGCATACCCACCGGATCATTTCAGAAAATGCTTCACTTCGACATCTGGAAATAAACCAATTTGAAACTAGTAATGTTACTGTCATGACTCAGAACAGAGGACCCAGTTTCAAGGCGAGACAGACAGTGGGATTATTCAAAACTAGCGGATCGGAGTAGCAGCTGCTAGGGTGTTGAAGACAGGAAACTCTGCAGGAGAGAAACACAGGTTAGTGAACATGACAGTCTAATGGAGAATTATTATTAATGTGTGAGTCATTAACATGGTTTTAGAGTTCAGTCTGTGGCCAAAGAACTAGGAAGGATCCAGACCGTGGGCTACCAACAAGATGCAGCGGGCGCGCCCAGAGTGTCCCAGATGCTGCAGCCCCAGAGAACATGCAGGAGTCTGAAGCCAGGTCAGGCAAACAGATCAGATTAGGAACAGGCAAGTTCAGAGGTCCAGGAGTCTGAAGCCAGGTCAAGCAAACAGATCAATACAAGAACGGGCAGGCTCAGAGGTCCAGGAGTCTGAAGCCAGTTCAGGCAAACTGAGGTAATGCACTAAGGTAATGCTAAAAACACTCTAACCACTGAGAACAGACAGGAAAAGGCAGGCTCAGTGGTTAAGTGGCAGAACAGGTCAGGATCAGGAAATCAGAAACACCAAGGAACTCTAAAAACACTCTCACCACTGGCTAGAGAGAACAAGAACATTCTGGCAGTGATAACTGGATGCAAGCACCTTAGATAGATGCAGGTGAATGTAATGAGTAATTAAGCCAGTCATACGTGCCAAGATCATGATAGTAAATCCCTTTAAAATCACACCACTGATATATTCAAAATAAAAGCTTGTTATTTGCATTTTTTTCCTCATAATCCCATAGTTGGTTTGAAACTATTTTATATTAGCACGATATATTTTGCACAGACATTTCTATCTTAAGTGCATGTTTGAACTATACAAATTGAACTCTGGATCCCATTTTAGAACACAGAAAGACAATCTTGGTGATATCTGTTGTACTTTTTAGGACCCCTATACCCGATTGAAGGAACAAAAAGCTCTAGACAAGATGATGGAAGCTCCCCACGAATTGTACTCCTCAAAACCTTCAACTACTTTGGCATATCCTACTCTCAGATTTATGTATGTTCACCTCATTCTTAGACTTGATGTAACTTCTTGTTAATTAAGAAGATGATATTCAATTATTAATCCAAAAGATAAATAAACAGCAAAAAATAATTTGAGGTTTTCTTTTGTTCAGGTGAACCACAATGGACATCTGACTTTTGATGAACCTTGGCATAGTTATTCACCAGAAAAGTTTCCAATGGATGAAGACAGAGACATCATTGCTCCATTCTGGACTGATTTAAACAATATACTAGGTGGTAACATCTACTATGTTCAGTATACCAACGGGGCTATCCTACAACAAGTTACCCAGGACATCAACTTGTACTTCCCAGAACTTAACTTTCATGCCAACTGGATATTTATTGCAACTTGGCATAAAGTTCCCTATTTTGGTATGCCTGGAACGGTAAGGAAATCTATTTGATATCATATTTTGAATGAAAAGACATAAACTATGTACTTATTCTGGATAGTCTTTGAAAAAAATACCCTTTTTCATAGCAAACAACCTTTCAAGCAGTCTTGGCTTCAAATGGGAATTATTCATTTGTGATTCTAAATTATGGATGCCTTACATTTACAAGATATCCATTTCAGGTAATGCATATAATTTATTTATTTACTTGTCCTGGCCATAGCCAGTGTCTTCTTTCTGAAGCATGACTAAAATTAGTTGTTTTTTTCTAATATTTCTAGGCTGGATATGATACATCCTATTCCTGTCACCACTTCAACATCCTTAAATCATTCTCTAGTAACACAATCCAAAACAGCTCTATTTTAAGCCTCAGTAGTAATGTTAATGTTCCTGGTCGCTGGGTTTTCCATGTGTCTAATGGTTCAAGGGGCTGCACTTTTAATGGTAAGAAGAAAGCATCTCTAGAGATATCTTTATTATGAGACATTTATCAGGGGAATGAGGGACAACCCCATGTTCTGTTACACGGTAGAACAGATGTGCTATTGAAATAGGTGCACTATAAGCTGAACAGTTCACCAGTTTTAGCAAATGATTAAATAGAATCTATGGAAATTAAACGGTTTTTAATTTTATTTGTCTATTTTGTCCTTGACAGCTTGACTCATTGTAACTTTTATCACTTTTTGCCCTAACTATGTGACCCTACATTGATGATTGGTGTACAGCATTAAATATAAAATGTTTAACATTAATTAACATATTATATGATTAATTAATCAAATGTACTTCTGACACTACTGATCTTCACCATTTTGATGTGTGTGGTGGGAGGTGTCAGCCAAGAAACTCAATAACAATATATTTATGTAGCTGTGATTATTATGCTGAATGTTTATGCTAAAGGAAAGAGAAAGCTAAATAGATGATTAAGAGCTTGATATTTATGCACGTCAACATTTATATTTATGCACGTTAAATCCAACTGTGACTCCTTTTGATAAAATCTAAAAGGAGTCACAGTTTGATTTAAAAAAACACACAACTTACCAACTCCCCCAAAACACAGAAAGGCTAACTTCCTGTATGTATTAAAAAAAAAAAAAAACTGTTCCCTAAATGCATCTGATATGGTCATGTTATGGTTTTTATTATGTTGTATTTTTTGTTGTTGTTGTGTTTTGGCCTTTGTTGTGTTGTGGCTTGTGTTCTCACTAAGTAGCTGTTGTGACTTTGTTGTAGTGTTCTGGCTTTTGGATTTTGTTGCCCCCATTGGGACACTGTGCTTTTGAGCCTGATTAACACACAAACATGCCAGACTTATAAAAATGAGACATACTCTGCTAAATAAAAGCCTTTGTCCTTTACACAACATTCAAACATTATTGCTTAAATATAATTGCAACCAGTTTTCGAAATCGACTACCATAGGCTTTTCACCTTAATTTTTTATTCAAACAAAAGCCTTACGTATCATCTTAAATGTTTAAATATCAAGCTTATAATAGGTATGCAGTGAAGGTAAGAGCAAGTTGCAGGTTACATTTTTAAATAAATGCAAATCTTATCTTATTAGTCATATTTGAAATGTCGCCATAACATAGTTAAATTACCAATAAAAGGGACCTTTCTAAACAGAGTCTCTAAAAACTACTTTTGACATCTTGTCAGCCAGTCAAACAGTCTATGTTGCTTCAGCTCTTTGTGGAGTGTAATTAATTATTGTGTAGACCCAATGTGTAATTGAGTCTGGTAGTAGGTTGAGACTGCATTTATTGATCATAAACATGGTCACTTGTTCCCTCAGAGGGAGTGAAACTATCAGTGTTCTAGTTCCGATGCAAACCTTACGGCAGTAGTCAGCTCAGTAAACAGGAGATTCTGCACGCAGTTGCAAGTGGATTGCTAATTAGGGGCAATATGAATGCTGGAAAAATTTTAAAGAGGCATGAGTTAGTTTTCTAACACTACTGTAACCTGTGCCCAAAAGACAAAACTGCAGAACTACTCTGGTCTTAGATGTAGCTCACGTTCGTATTTAACAAGGCTATCTTTTCACTTTTGTTTTAGCTTACCTCGAGATGCCATTTGTGTCTGAGTTGAGCTGGATGCCAGGCTCTTCTGAGTATCAAAAAAATCCATCTTGAATATAACGCTTAGATTATTTCCTAGGTCGGATGCATTTAACATGGACACATGCAGGAACTTTCGACTGGAAGTAAATTAAGGAAAATAGGCTTACAGGCTAACAGACCCTGCTTGATGCCATACACCATAGACCTTGCATATCAGATGCTCTGATGCCCAGAACACACTTGGTCTGAATGCACCATGAGAACTGGAAATGCCTTCCATACTAGTTATGGACTTGAAAAAGACATTCAGGAGAAAAACTGAAATGGCTCACCACAGCTTAATCTTAGATACTTTTTGAATCAAATTGACCCCCAGGCCCCACCTCACACACATTTTATCATCCTGTTTCACCACCTGAGTATGGGTTCTGATTTACTTTATTTACTGTCTAATATATAAAATGTATAGTCCACATTATATGTTATGATATTAGTTCCAACCTGCATATGTATTTTTTCTGCAATAACTCCCATAAGCACACTATGCACTAGAGTAAATTACACCCTTTTTTTGTGTTTCAGGTTGTCAATTAAAGAAGACACGTAAGTTTGAAATACCAGCTCCATAAGTTTCTTAAGTTAAATTCTGCCTTCTTAGATTATTTATTTATTTCAATTTCTACCACCTCTGTATAAAAGATTTTAATGTAGAAAATACTAAATAAATAACACCTAACCACACAACCATTTGAACAGTCTACCACAATTTGCACTTATCAAACATTTATAAAATCGCACAAATTTCAATTATAGGTTTGTAGATAACTTGTACATATCTACAGATTTTGTAATGTGCTCAGATTGTTCAAAAATATTTCGGTTTTATTTTGTTTGATTGCTGACAATTTTGTAGTCAAGCAAAGTAAAACCCTAAAAGAAATAGTTTGTATTTCTTTATATAACAATATATAGGTGAATGGTAAATCAAATCATTGTTAAAACGCTGTAAATACAAGATTTTTATGAATTTATTTTTATTTTTTGCATTATGTTATCGTTAGTGATATTTATCTTTAGTGTCATATCATATAACTTAGATATCAGCACCTTTTGCAATTTTTCATTTCTTTTCATCTTTTTTTACATCAAAATTTGTTTTTTAAGCTATAAAAGCCCAAATCGTTGGGAGTCAGGATGCAACCCCTCAGCATTGGCCTTGGCAAGCAAGCTTATGGCAAGGTGGTTCCTCCTTTTGTGGAGGATCCCTGATAACTGACCAGTGGGTGCTGACTGGTGCTGGCTGTGTAAGAAGGTGAGATTAAACTCGGACGGGGCGGATTTAGGGAATTTGGGGCCCTAGGCAAAGGCACACTAAATTAAGAAGACAACACGTAAAGCAGACCCATTATACAGATACAGAAATTTTAATAGAATTGACATTCATTATTTGTTCTACGTCTTGTCTCTCCCTTATTGAAAAAAACACACAAAAAAACAGATTTTTTTTAAAAGACTGACAGCTCTGGCCTATATACTACAATAGCTGGGTACAGAATGTTGCAGTGCAGTTCGTCATTGCTGTTGGGCAGAAAACTTTGATTAATATAATTCAAATAAACTTTTTTATGAATTAAAAAGTGTCTCACAAAAGTTGTGAAAATTGCAGACCTAGTTTAACACAACATATTGGTTGATATAGCAGACAGACAAGCTATGTACAATAAAGGAATGGTTTTAAAAGGTTTCCATCCCAAAGCAAACACTTCCTGATCTACTATGAATTATGCATTACACACAGTTGAATAAAATCTTCATTGCTTCAAAAAAGCAAATAACAAAAACATTCTTCTTTCTACTTTGGCAATTTTGGCTTTATTTATAAGAATTTACCCCTTGGTTAGCGCTGCTCAGGGTTCAAAGTACATTTAAATTCACAGAGATTTGATATTAAAAAAAAATACAGATAGAACCTAAATAACTGCATTGTAATTCCATAGCAATCCAGACCAAAATTGAATGAATAGGCTAACTTAAATGTTGAAATATTAATCTGTATTAACTGACTTTGTAGGTATGATCACAACAATTTCTAACTGCTGAACTCACATTTCAATTTACTGCGGTTTTCTTTTTTGTACATTTTAGCGGAATCAGCACTATTGAAGTCCATCTGGGTTTCCATGGTTTATCAAGTCTCAATTCCAACAAAGTGATTCGGGGGATTGACGGCTTTATTTGCCATCCTGCCTATAATTCTATGTTGGAGAATGACATGTGCCTGCTGAAGCTGTCATCTCGGGTCAGGATTACAGACTACATACAGCCTGTGTGTTTAGCCTCAGGGGCCAGCACATTTCTCAATGGTACTACCAGCTGGGTCACTGGTTTTGGTGACTTTGGTAAGTTCCAAAAAATGTATTTTAGTTAAAAGCACTGTGTCTAAATTACCACCAAAACACTGAAATATCCCTTAACATAGGTAATGGGACACATGACATCCTCCAGGAAGTAGAACTACAAATTGTGGGAAACAAGGAGTGCTCTTGTCACAATCAAGACAACATCACAGAGAACATGATTTGTGCTGGTCTTGATCTGGGAGGAAACAACTCATGTCAGGTAATTGTGTGTTAGTGAACCTGTTTTGTTTACGTTGTTTTGTTTTTATGTCTGTAGGATGTATTCTAGAATAATGTCTTGTCACAAAAAGACAATTTCAATAAATTAAACATTGATCTATCTTTCTCTCCATCCATCAAGCCGTATATATCCATTTATCTCATCCACTTAATCCATTTAGGGAGAACCAGGAGAGAGCCCAAAGATATACAAGAAAAAGTCACTGAATATTTTTTTTTTCTTTTTGAGTTACAGTTCAATTCAAAGATAGTTAATTAATCCCCAAATGGAAGTTCCGTTTCGTTACGGCCTGTCATGGGGACGCGCTGTTCGAGGCCTTGCTGATATGGGAGGAAAAAAAATTGTACCTCATACTTTATCCTTTGCAGGATACATACAGTTGAGATTCAAAAAATACTCAGCAAAGGCACTAGAAAACAAATGACATGAATAAAGGATCACACTCTTACATCATGCTCTTAATTTTAATCTACAAGCTCACTTTTTTACTGCATAACAACTGGCACTAGAGAAACAGACATACATTTAGGAAATTAAGCAAAAATTATAATCCGAATCAGAAATGCTTTTTTGCCAAGAAGTGATTTCGAAAATGCAAGGAATTTTCTTTGGTAATGAGGTGCTACACCTAGATAAGCAAAGATACTGTTCACTTAAATAAATATGATAATATAACAAAATTATAATGAATAAATACAAAGGTTGTACAAACATAAAGCACAGTGGCAGTTATGCATGTATTAAAGCCAGGCTAAAGATCTTTTTTTTTTCTTTAAATAAAGTAATAACATTACAAGAATAAAGTCATAATATTTAGAGAATAAAGTTATAAATTTACAACAATAAAGTAATACATTTAGAGAATAAAGTCGTAACATTACGAGAATAAAGTAATACAAAATGAGGAATGTGGAGAAACATGTCAAGTTATACTTTGGCATCGGTTTGACAAATAAGGAAATATTTTAGCACACCAGCATTAATTTGGACAGTTTGTCAAAGTGGACTCAGGTTGATGTTTGGTGGTGCTAGTCGGAGCTCGAAGCTTTCTTTCTGAAACGGGTTGTTTTAGGATTACTTCATCGTGCTCCCCAGCTGCCCCACAATGGCAACCCATTGCTCCCAGGGGGATGGGTTAAAATGCAGAGGTACATTTCTCCAATGTGAGATCAATTTTTCTCGTTATTTTTCAACTTTATTTTCATAATATTACAACTTTATTCTCAAAATAAAATTTTTTAAAAATCTCCAGCATGCCCTAAAACTCTGTCATAGTTATTTAACAACAACAGATTAACATAAGACTAAATATTACACGTATACACTATAAAACAACATGTTGAATTCATTTAACTAAGTTATGCCAACTGGTTCTATAGTTAAGTAATAAAAATGAAATTATATGTTTACTTTTATTATAATTAAACATAACTTAAGTAAAGACAGACAAATGACCAAATCACTAAATCATTAGGTTTGTATAAGTGTTAAAGTAAAGTAAGTAATGTTAAATTGAACAGATACTGATAAGGGTTTTTAGTTCAGTTTAGGGTTTATTTTTGAAATGTATTTGTGGATTTCATTTATGGAATTTAGATTTCTCATGTTTATATTATGTAATAACAACATTTATGTTTTAGAATTGTTTTAACTTGACATCACATTTTTGATCCCACATTTAACAATAATGTCATATTCTTTTGATGGTACTTGTCATTGGATGATTGATGAAGATACTGCAATTGGTAGCGGTGATTATCTTTAGAGATTGAATTGGTTTTTAGTCTTGATGTAGTTTGTACAGATATCAGTAAACAATTTTATAATGAAGCTAAACGAGACAGATTTAGGCATATTTGTAATAAAGAAATGGGATAGATGAGTTTTAATGTGAAAGTTAGTGGGGGGGTTTATCTTTCTTTATGTATTGCAATTTTGAAGGCAGAAAGGCATCTTTGTGAGTATAAGCAGAAATTGGCAATAGAGAGGAAAGATATTAAAGATGCAAAGAAGAAATTTTGGAGAAGTTATTGTGACTCGTTAGGGAGCCAAATGCCTGTAGATCTAATTTGTGGAGTATTTAGGAGAATCAGTAAAAAGTTTGGATATTCAATAATCCTATGTGGAGAGAGAGTAAAAGTAAAGCAGAATCGATAACAAGGAAAATTTGAACATAGAGGGAAGGAGAGTCAGAAGTAAGACAATTGGACATAATGTAAGTATTTTTCAAGATGTTAGTACTTGTGAATATCTATATTGAATTTACTATGATGGAGCTCAACAGAGCATTAAGTAAATCTGAAAATAATAAACCTTGAGAGGATGAAATAACTTAAAGTATCTTGAAAAACTTGAGTGTGTGAAATAAGGTGGTCCTTTTAAAATTATGTAATAAAAAATGGACCAATGCCTTTTCAAGGGATGGAATGGAAGGAGGAAATTCTTATACAGATTTGTAAACCAGGGAAAGATCTCTGTATTGCAGAAGGTTATAAACTTACCGCTTTACGTCACATGTTGGAAATTGATTGAAAAAATGGCAAATTATTTTATACATATTATCTGGAGTGTAAAGAGTTACTTAAAAGTCATCAAAATGGATTTTGGAGAGGTAGGAAGTATATCAGATCTCTCTTTTCAATTGTAAAATAAAGTTAGAAAAGCTCAAGTTAATAAAGAGTGTGTTACTTTTAAATTTTGACTTCCACTTCATCCTTCAGGACTTTTATGTCATTTGATAACAAGATTAGCAGTTTAGGCAGTGTACAATTCAAGAAATGCCTTAGTATGAGTATGCCTTTTTGGAATATAGACCTGTAGGCTTAAGAAGTTTTAAATTGCTCTTGGGAATGAGTGCTCATCATACATGATCCTCTGTCCTGTGTAACAACTTTTATCATCAGATTTGGCATAAGCATAATGTAAATGAAATTTTGCTCAGTTAAAAGCAATGTAACAGCATGTAAACCATAAACAATTTAAAGAAAACCAAAGGAGAGAATAATATAGTTTCTGAATTTAAAACATAAACTTACAGTCACTTAGAAACTCATGTTTCTTCCACAGGGAAGAGAAGCAGGAGGACCACTGGTGGTGTTCAATGGGTTTACGTGGGTGCAAGGTGGATTGGCGAGTTTCAGGGATGACTGTGCCGTTCCACAGAAACTTGGAGTCTTCAACCGAGTGTCAAAGTATGAGAAATGGATCAATGAAACTGTCACTGAAAGGAAACCAGGCTTTGTAACCTTCACCTCCTCAGGCACCGACTCCGACTTGAACTTTACCTGTTGTACATCAATGCCTTGCAACTCTGGTGGTAATATTTTTGGCAGCAATGAAAACATGAGTCTCTTCACTCAGTTCTTGGTTCTTTTGGCTCTTGCTCTATGTTTCCCATGTCTTTAATGGTAGTATGGCCAAGTATGGTACGGGTCTTTAATTGTCCAATGCACTTTTAAAATAATTTGAATCTTTTTCCTCTCATAGTGCCGCTCTTTGCAGCTGGAGTCATATAAACCAATTTTGAATACTTTGATATTGCTTTATTTAGAATCTAATACTTTATGGTAATCTTAATCTACAGTGCTGTTTCCAATCCAAATTAAACATTTAACTAACCAAGCACTTTAATGGCTAAGTGATATGATCACAAATGGTTTGATTCGAACGGTATTTTATTCAAACCATTTAAATCTTTATTTTTATGTTCTTTGATTTACAGGCTTTTATGAGTAAAAATAAATATGCTTTTCAAATTTGAATTAGTTTTCTATTATCTGCGTTCTGCAAACATTTTATGATAACCAAATATATGCTTTTCATTTCTAAAATCCATCTAAAAATGTATCTTTACACATTAAGCTTTAACCCAACTCAGACTTGATTTTATTTCTATATTTAGATTTTCTTTTAGCCTGTTTATATTACTTCAATGTTTTATTTCCCTGTCATATTTTATTGTTTTTATTCTAAATTCATTATTATTGTATGCATAGGTTTATTAACCCATTATAACTTCTTTTTGTTTTGTTTTTTCCATTGTTTTATGTTTTATGTGGAGCGCTTTGTTTCTGCATTTGCTGTTGTAGCGCTTTATAAGTGAATTTGATGATGATTGATGATGATGATGATGATGAAGATGATGACAATTGAAAAATTAGTATTAAAATATATATTGCAAAGCCTTCAAAGTGAAAATGGATGTAAAAAGGTGCCAAAATACTACAACTATATAGAAGCACAAAATACAGTACCAAATAATGAATAAATAATAAAGCACTAACACTGGTTATGGTTGTTTTTGAAACGATTTCTGGTGCTTGGTGAATGTGAATCAAAGTGGATAAACTATTGTGCAGCAAAGGAGAACAGCAGAAGGCAGGTGGGGGTATCCTGTTTTATCCTGACTAAAACAGGATACATTTTTACCTACATCAGGTGTCCAAATAAGACAAAATGTTGTAAATCCTTAATTGTAAATAATGATAACCCTACAATGTAAATCACATAAAAACTTCATGAAGTACTTTTAGGTCATCCAACGCCTGATTACAACACCATACAGCTTTCCAAAGATATCCACATCCTTTTCTAAAAACTAAGACTTTAACATGTTATTTTCGAGCAATTAACCAGAAACATTTTGAAACAATGAAATTGCAATGTTTTCTATACATTCTAAAATCCCAAGTGGGAACATTTGTACTCACTGTTTTTTGTACACCCATAAATTTGCTGCACAAACAGCATCACAGGGGTTGGTCCACTGGGGTAATTCAAGCTTAAAAACCATATCTCGAACCGAATAAGAATTCTGAAGTGGGGTGTACTTGTCATGGAACGGGACAGATGTCATGGAACGGGACAGATGAACCCAGTATTCAAGTAGAGATAGTCAGTTGGAAAGTTCAAAATGTTTCTTGAACAAAGAACAAAACAAGACTAAAGTGGAGCTTCTAGGAACTGCTGCTCGCGGATGCTGCAGGAGAGGAGGTGGGGCACCGCCCAATCACAGACACTCTGGTTTAGCAGTTCAGACCATAACCCTTAAAGGGGCGTGAACCAGCATCTCAGGGATAAAGATCAGGCAGGAACAGAAAAAACAGGATCCAGATATGACAGGAACAGACAGGTGGCAGGATCCAGGCTTCCAGGCATCATAGAGCCCCCAGGCGGGTTCAGAGTCTGACAGGGTCTGGAAGCATGACCAGCCTATCATGCACCAGAGTAGACAGGATCAGGTGCAGACGGGCTGGCTCAGTGGTAGAGGGTAGCAGAGACAGGATGTGGAACCAGAACTTGACGCAAGACCTTTAAACAGGTCTCCACCTTGGAGCCAGGCTTACTGGGATAAAAACTGAACCTCCCCACATATAGAGCCAAAAACCCTGACGACTCAGCAGGGAAGGAACAGTGGATGAGCAGGAGACGAGACAGACACAAACCCTCTTTCCACTGGCCAGCAGGATCCAAAACATGAACCATGAAATAAACTGAACTGGAAAGACTAGCAGAAAAACAAATAATGATCTGGCCCCGAATGCTCAGGCTGAACAGAATATAAACCAAAGGAAGCAGGTGGGAGGAATGAATGATAATTGAGGCAGGGAGGGAAAATGACAGGTAAAAGAAATGACCAATTAAGGCAGAGCAAACAGGCCAGATCAAGACAGTACTTACCAAATACCTCAAAACGGCATGGAGCTAAGCTACGGTTAAAGTTCCTCCACAGTAGCCATTATAAGCTATATATATCCGAACAGTCCTAGCAATTAGGAGGAAACTAGGACAGAAAACATGGAATCTCTGATTTAAGAAGAAACAGTAGCCTAAGTGGTAGGCCTAAATATGTAAATTTGTGTCTGTAGATGTTATACATTCAAAGCTGCTCATTTTTACTTTACCCCTTATTTTTGCTGACTAAATCTACTGTTTATTCAACTATAATATTTCGGTCTGAAAAGCTCACACAAAGAGAGAAGTCTTATTGATGCAGTATTTAAATCTTTTGCACTCAAACCTCTGCAGAAACATCAGCACTGAAATTTAATTTGATTATATGCATGAACTGATAAATGTGAATAAGGGGGATTTCCCCAGGTATAAAACTGGTGGTGAAACAGAGAAAGAATGAAGATGGCACCAGTTAGAATAAGGTGCAGGTTCATATGAACTTCCATGATGAGCAAGCAAGAAGCGATAGTGAAGAGAAAAAACTCCCCTTGGGAAGAAATCTATGGCAAATCCAGGCTCAACAAGGCGTACTTCTGCCGCACTGGCTTGGGATGCCTTGTGAATGCAGTAAAAAACAAAGCAATCAACAGATTGTACGAGGAAGCAGCGATGTGAAGAAAGGGTTAGATGGAGCTTGCGGCAAAGGGAATAGAGGATGGTTGCATCACGGGAATCTGAGTCAAAGTCAGACATAGCAAGCCAACTCAGATGCTTTGTTGAGTAACAGATGTGTTGTGATTTTTAAATGTCTTTTAAGCTGATTGGAGTTTGTGGAGGTGTGGTCCTGTGCTCATATATTAATTTCAAAGCCTCTCTAGGATAATCACAGCTCTTCATGGCTATCCTGATATATCCCTGTTCTCTTATCTTTCTTCTATTGGTGGTGGGAATGGTTTCTGCTCGGGTCTGAAGGATTCTGATAACACCAAGTTTGTGTTCCAGTGGGTAGTGTGGGTCAAAACAGAAGTAGTGGTTGGTGCGTGTGGGTTTCCTGTAGACTGTTTCCTGTAGGGTTTCCATGTTGAGTTGTCTGTCTTCCATGATATGTCTCACATCGGGTGAACTTGATGTTTCTGTCCTGTGCGTTGATGTGGTCGTGAAATGTTTACATCCTTGGTCTTTATATTGACCTGTGTCATCCACATATCTGAACAAGTGACTGGGTTTTTGTCCTATGTATGTGTGTAGAGCTCTGCTTTCCACTTCTTCCACATAGAAGTTTGGCACTCTGGGAGAAAAAGGAGAGTGCATCGCACATACATGCTTCTGCCTGTAGAAAGCTTGGTTGAATTGGAAGTATGCAGTGGTAAGGCACAAGTCAAAAAGATAACAGATTTGGTCAGTAGTTTGGTTGGTCCTATCTGGAAGAGTGTGGTCTTGAAGTAAATTAATCTTAAGTGTGGCTACTAGTTCTGTGGTGGGGATGCAAGTAAAAAGAGATGTGACATCACATGAGACCATGGTCTCATCCGTGTCCAGTGTTAGGTTCTTTATCCTATTGGAGAGGACCTGTGAGTTAACAATGTGATATAGTGTGTTGCTAACCAAAGGAGTGATGATGGAAATGTGATGTTTGGCAATCTTGTAAGTGACAGATATAATGCTGCTGATCATGGGTCTGAGAGGAACTCCTTCCTTGTGTATTTTTGGGAGGCTGTAGATCCAGGGAACGGCTTCTCCTGGGTAAAGCCGGTGTAGGTACCAGACCTGCTCGGGTGGTCAGATCTGCTTGGGCCGTATGCATGCCAGTGAGGTTATGCTACATGATTGGCTGAACATTGCCAGATTATGTAAAACATAGTGGTTGCCCAGACAATGATAATAACATCACACAGCGTCTGTTAGCATGTCTAATGACCGATTAAGTTTTACCTGATGTTTTCTTTGTCTAAAATCTCTACGGAAGTCATTTTTTAGGATGTTTCATTTGTCCTCCTCTGCCCTCAGATCTTAATCAAAAGAATAAAAATAAACTGAAACTTTTTTTTGTCACCTTGTTAAATGACAGAGCTCAGTCAGTCTTAAGCTCGGCGTACACGTGATTTTTGCATTCTACAGAGCAGCTCCATCTCACTGCGGAGCTGAATCCGACGTGGTTTTTAGTCGTAGAGTGTGAGCAGGTGGACTGCATCAGAGCTTTGGGCGAACATAAATCGTGAGCTGTAAGCTCACACTGAACGACTAAACCCTGCTGTTAATCGTACAGTGTAAGCAGTAGCTGTGTGCAACGATTGAAAAAAATTGCACAGTGTAAGCCCGGGTTTAGAAGGTAGTACTTTCCTTCAAGACTGAAAATTATTGTTTTCTACTTTCGGCTACTTTAGATGGCCAATGAAATGTAAAATAATGCAAATATAGGTAATAATATGTTGAAACTCCAGAAGAGATTCAATCCTTAAGAAACGGGTGCAATACAGTTTGTCCGAGTGGAGTTGCCATATGTTGACGTATTAAGAAGGGGCATGGAGCAGATCTGACCTCCCAAGCAGATCTGGTACCTACACCGGCATTATTGTTGCCTTTCGATGGCTTTGTCCTTTTCTAAAAGCTAAATGCAGCTAATGACCATCTTCATGTAGCTGCTGGTGTGATCTTTCTTTAGTGATCTGGATGACTGAAGAAAGACTTCAGATGTATTTGAAGTCTTGTGTATCTCAGAGGGCTTTGCCTCAAAACCAGACAATAATGATCAAATTGGGCATCGTCTTAAAGGTATAGTGTAGGATTTTCACAAATTTTTGAAAAGCTCCGTCCTCTCCACATTTAAAAAAACATGCACAAACCTGCATCCGCTCCAGAGAGGGAACGCAAATTAAATGCATGCAAGAGCATGCACCACCCCATCTCTACTCGTGCATGCTCCGTTTAAAAGTTGCTGTTCATATAACTCATGTAAGCTTACTGTATCCGGAAAGTCCGCCCTAATCCCTAAATACCTAAGTCATTATATAGAGCAGAGACTTTATAGTGGACTTTTTAGTGAACTCAGTTTACTGAACGGATGATCACTGCTTTTGCTCTCCGTTGGTCATATAACTCCTGTGCCTGTCCACCGCTAGTCACCGCCTATGTCAGTTGTGACAGCAAATCCCATAATGCTTTGCAAAGAGAGTGATAGGATTAAGATAT